AGGGTCGTGGAGGCAGGGCCTGCTCCCCACCCACCCTGGGCTGTGTCAGGGGGCGACCTCAGGGGCAGGGGCACCCACCAGGCTCTTGCTCTTCCCGGTGAAGGCCTCCTTGACGTAGAGGGAGCCCACGGCACTCTCCATGTTGCTGTTCACGTAGCTCACGCACTCCCGCCAGCGCACCTCCTCCACCGTGGTACCGTACAGCGCCTGGTGTGTGCATCCGCTCATTCACGCCCTCCCTGCACCCCGAGTACCAGCGTCCACAGCCCCGGCCCTGGGGGCCTGGACCGGGGCCAGAGTGTGGCACAGGGGAGTGGGGACTGGCCTCTGAGCGCGGGCCACGGGTGTGGGGGGAATGGCGCCCTCTGGAGGACCAGGGTGGAGTCCTACGCTAAGTCCGGGTCCTGGCCTCTCTGCTCCTAAGGCACCAGGCTGGCACTGACTCTGGAGGAAGTTCTGGGGACCATGTCCTCTTGGGCTGCCAGAGCCCTGGTCTGGTTTTTCGCGGCTGAAGTCGTATGAGAACTCCTGCCGGTGTGTTTTTCCCAAGGGTGCGAGGTAGAAGAGGGGCTGTGTCCTTCACCAGCCTCGGTCCCAGACGCCAGGGTCCCTCAGAGGCAGCCCTCGCCTGCTGCGCTGCCCTGAGGAAGTCCTTCCTGACCTCCCCTCCGGCTCCTGTCTGTTCCTGCCTTCTGCCCTCTCATGGGCTGTGTCTGCTCCCTGGAACTCTGCCAGCTCTCCTGGTGCCTTGCAGGTCACCTCCCCCGGGGCCTGCTGCCACCCCTCCCCAGAGCAGAGGAGGGCAGGAGTCCTGGCTGCTGGATCGGTACCCTGCTGCCCGAGGATGCTGAGCATCAGAAACCGAATGAATGAAGGGGTGGCTGGCCTGGGTGGGAGCGGGGAACCCCTGTGTGTGGGGCGCACTCACCTTGCGGTAGTTCACTCGTGCATCTTTGAATCGCTGGCTCAGGCTGCTGATACGATCCAGCACCAGACGCCAGACCAGGTAGTTCTGCATGGTCCTGGGGCAGCAAATGGGACAAATGAGTGCTCTCTGCAGAAGGAGGGGACGCAGCTTGGCCAGCAGGCTACGACCCTTCTAGGGTCCGCTGCATGCCTTGCCTGCTGGCGAGGCCTCACTCCTCTAGGCAAAGCGGGGAGCCTCCTCTGTCCCTCACACCAGGGGCCTGTGCTTGCTGGAGTCGGTGCGTGCACGGGGCTGGGAAGCAGGGCAGGGCCTCACCTGGCTGAGTAGACGTCGATGATGTCTTCAAGATTCTGCAGGTAGGGGCTGCCATACACCACCACCTCCTCATTGGGCAGCAGCTCGATTTTGACAGAGGACAGCACAGTTTGTATGAAGAGAGTCCAGTTAAAGCCCTGGGGGAAGGAGAGACAGGGAGGGAGACACAGGTAGACCTTTCTGGGTTGCTTAGAACCCCAGTCCTCTAAAAATTGCTCAAAAGACATGGAGAAGAGAGAGCCCATGGGCTGTGCCGTGGGTAAGAGCCAACACCGGGACAGCTGGAAAACCGGACGCAACAAGAGCTGGCCAAAGTAACAAGACGTAGGGAACAGATATTTTTATGGGTGAAATAAACCAAACCTATGATTTGAAATATTCCCACAAATACATTTCCAGGCCCATCTGGCCACATTAGAGAATTCTACCTGGTATTAAAAAAGAACATAGTAAGCCTGGTGCCGGTGGCTCCCACCAGTCATCTTCGTGGTTCAAAGCCAACCAGGGCAGTAAAGTCCGTGAGACCCTTATCTCCAGTAAACTATTCAGAAGAAGCCAGAAGTGATAATCTTGAGCACCCAGGCCTTGAGTTCAAGCCCTAGGACTGGTGCGCACGTGTGCGTGCACGCACGCACGCACACACACACACAAAACAGCAAAACAAAAAGAACATACTGTCAATCTTACCCAAAACTCCCAGAAAGGAGGAAAGAGAATCTCAACCAATGAAGCCAAGACTAAGGTTAATACCAAAATAAGGACCATTACTAAGGGAAACAAGAGCTAGAGGCATGCTTAATGGCTCAAGCAGTAGAGCACCTGCCTAGCAATCACAAAGCCTTGAGTTTGAACCACAGTACTGCCAAACAGCACCACCAACAAACAGATCCAAAGATCAACAAGCAGAGGCTTGGACAGACACGCTGTCCACGCAGGGCAGCTGGTGAAACACCACGAGAAGGGCAGAGGCAGGGGATGAGAAGGATCCACAGTAGACAACATCACTCAGAGACGTCCAGACCCGGGGTTCACCCAAGGCCCATGGGGAATGGGGACTTACGGAGTGGGGTGTGCATGGTGGACTACTGGGGGCCAGAGTGCCCATGAACCGGTGCCTGCTGGGCCCCGGGCGGGTGCCTGCGGCTGGGAGGGTGAGGGTTGTGCAGGGCCTGCAGCCAGCCAGGCCTGGGCTAATTGTGGTCTGCGCAGTCGGTGTGGATGGAACGCTTCATGGCAGTTCCTGGTACTGAACCCCCCGAGACCTGGCTTTCTGGATATCCCAATGAGCCCCACACCTCGCCCATCCGCAGCCCTGTGACTCACACCTTCCAGCTTCCTTTCATGACACCTTCACCACTGGCCCATGCCCTCAGCATCCTGAGGAGCTCCGGCCAAGCATGTCCCATCCACCCCGAACCTCTGTGCAATTGTCCACACCAGTGGGGTTCACTCGCCTGTACCCCGGCTCCCTTCCCGCAGCCTCGCTTCAGTGACTGGGCACGGGGGTACTGTCTTCACTCAGAGTCCCCCCCCCACCCCGTCTCCCCACTGTCTCATTCTGACAGCCGCCTCCCTGCCCTGTTCCCTTTCTCCACACAGACCTGAACTCCACCAGCTAAGGATTTACGTTGTGTTCTAATGGAGCCCAGAGCCAGGGCCCCAACGGGACCCACCGCCATCTTCTGCTGGGCCCGGGGGGTGGGGAGCTATGCGGGCAGGGCATCCATGCTGGTCATCCCAGCCCACAGGACCAGGGACAAGGACTCCCCGGGGGTCTGGTGCGATCCTGGGAACCAGGTCTGCCCGCAGCGTCTTTTGGTCCTGCTCCTGGTGAGACCTAAGTCCTGGGACACTTTTGCACACACTGGCCCGCACGCACACTCAGCGGGGAGTGGTGCCGGCCCTCCCTCGGTCCCGGCTCGCACGCGCACCCGCCTCTCCTTCAGACTGAACCGGCTCGCCCGCACACCCTCCTCACCTTCAGACTGAACTTGTACTGCAGTTCCTCCAGGTCCATCCTGTGGTACAGGGTCGTGACGTCATGCCGCTCCTCCTGGGGGGCTGTGGCCTGCGCGAAGGCTGAGGGTCACAGGGGCCCGGCGGCCGCCCAGCCTGAGGCCCCGGCCCAGCCGCCCCTCACATTGGCCAGGTGCGTCTCCGGCCCGGCCTGAGCCCTGGCCCAGCTCCCCCTCACATTGGCCAGGTGCGTCTCCAGCCCGGCCTGAGCCCCAGCCCGGCCCCCCCTCACATTGGCCAGGTGCGTCTCCAGCCCGGCCTGAGGCCCCGGCCCGGCCCCCCCTCACATTGGCCAGGTGCGTCTCCAGCC